TTAATTGTTTTGAAGGTCAATGATTAATCACAAATGATTCAACTTAATTTTTACAAGACTTGGGGTGAGTTTAGGGCATCAAATGACCCATATTTAGGAGTTTACGGCCCTGGAGCATATGCTATGGCCGTAAACTCTCAAATGGAGAGGTTTTGTTATGTTTAAGGCCCCCAAATAATTTTTGGTTGGTTCTAGGATTTATTCCAAGGCTTATGAGGTGTGTAAGTTGCATTTTAACACCCAAAAAGGAGTTTACTCCCCATGAAATGGTGTTTATGGCCCAAGCTTGTTCTTGGGCAGTAAACTCATGTTTACTCCTCAAAAATGATATTCAATGTGTTCTAAGTCCAATCCAATAAGTCCTTAAGCCATATCTAAGCTCCTATGGTGATTTGGATGGGTTTTAAGGCTCAAAAAACCCATTTACATGTGTTCACGGCCTAAGGCTGTTCCAGGGCCGTAAACACATGTTTATGGTCCTATTCCATGATTTGAACATGAAAATGAAGGCTAAGGATGTTATACTAGGAGCTAGGATGATTTTGGATCAACAAGTTGGATTTGAGGAGAGGGGTTAGAGAGAGAGTGAAAAGGCTCCAAATGAGTCTTAATTCACTTTAAATATGGTTTGAATTGGATACACGGTGGAATTCTACCCGGTACCGACGTTAACCAATGCTTTGGGTCGCACCCGATTAAGTTGTCTTTACCCGATATGGTCGAAACTAAAATTTTTCAAATTACTAGTTTGGGACGTTTTCACATGTTTCCAACATGTTTGGATACTTACAAGGTCAAAAGAAAAGTTTTAACTTAATTGACCTAGTTCGAAGACGAATTCGGAACAACTCGCTTAAGACGAGTTTTATTAACGAAACGGTTACGGCGAAGGAACAAAATTTCGGGTTGTTACATCATTCATAAAAAAAAACGGCATACAATGTGGATGGAACAAGGTTTAAATCAGTAAAATGTCTTTTTTATCCTTTTTATCTGTTAAATCTATGATGCTAATTAGACCATTGACTAAAGTTATTCTCATATGAGACAAATAAAGAAGGTGAATCATACATAATGGAATATAACGAAAATGGAGGACCTTCCCTATTTGTGTTTGTCGTTTGCAGGTTTAGTGTAATTCTTTTTCTATTACAACTTCATGAAATTGTATACTTTTATGGCTTTGTTAAAATGCATTGTTAACATGTTATCGGGTGGCATGAAAAGATGAACTAAATGGATAAGGGTAATCTTTTTTTATTCAATGCTTAAAACTATTAAAAAAGATTAATAGCTTGATTGCATATGATCATGATTAATTTTTATGTATGTAAGTTACATGCTTAATGGGTCAGTCACTTGCATACAAACATAGGGAAAATGACTTAAAAGCCCAAGGAAGTTTTCAAACCATTCAAAAAACCTCAATTATGTTTTGTCTGTTCAAAAAAACCCAACAAACTTAACATTTTGTCTAAAAACTCCAACAAAGTTTCATACCGTTCAGAAAATTCCAATTTTGTTTTGTTTAAGTTCGTTGGGTTTTTTTTTGAAGAGTCAAAACATGATTAGAGTTTTTTAAACGTTTTGGAAACTTCGTTGGTCTAACAAGTCATTTTTCTGATACGGTAATAAGCCACGTCATCTGTTTTCCTTATTTGACTTTTGAGAAAGTGGAATATATAGTTGGACTTTTTAGATAAAATGTTAAGTTTGTTGGGTTTTTTTGAACAGACAAAATATGATTTGGGTTTTTAAGTCATTTTCCCTACAAACATATTGTATATGTGATGCTTTTGAAATTCGTTGTGTAGGTAAGTTAGAGCTTCTAAGCAATTTCTTTTGACATTTACATATCCAAATTTTAGGGGTTTGGCTTTTGATTCAATAAGCTGAACAAAGCTTCTGATTTTTCACAATTAATCCAATTGTATTGGTATATTATAAATTGTAATTGTTGTGAGCCCGAAACTGAAATGAATGATTTTGAAAAAACATTTCTCACCCATGCGGAGGATGGGTCCTTTTCCTAGTTTATATTAAACCATAGATGCCAAACGACCACTATAATTGATCATCAAATTGTTTGTACATAATGAATTTTATAGCTATTTTCTTTTCTTTTTTTAAAAAACAAATCTTTCAGCTTTATAATTGTCTCACCAGATATCAGTTGAAGCTAACCTAAACACATGTTTTTTTGCACAACTTGACAAGTGACTATTTCCAACCACGTACTGTTTGTACTCTCTAAATAAAATTAAAATAAATAAATAAAACCACTCTACCAAAGCAAGCAATTTCACCCATCATATTTGTACTTTCGTGATAAAAAAATAAATAACCCATTAAATCTGTATCTAAAATTAGAGGTGTGATAAAAATACCAAAACCGAATAAGTGACGAACCAAATAATGTTCGGTTTATTTGATTCGGGTTATTTTGGTTATTCGGTTAATTCAGCTTGGTTAACCGAATAAAGATACCTTATTTGGTTTGATTTTTGTTAAATTTTTATGACTTTGGTTAAATTGAAAAAAGCGAATAAACTATTTAATTATTATACCTTTTTATAGTTTATATATAAATTAACATTTTATACTTAAATTTATAGATAATTACTAAAAAAATATTTTCATAACTTATTATTTAATTATTAACCATTATGAATTTATAATTGTTTACATATTGTATTAAAAACCGACAACTAATTAGCTAAACTCAATTAACTTTCGATCGTTTCTTCCTCTTCATATACGTCTAAAGCTACATTAACATGCATCTACAGTTTGTGTGGCTACATCAATACCTGAAGATAACATATTATGAATATAATATATTGTGTATTAGTGTTTTTTATTCATTTGATAAAACTTCAGTAAGTTTTTTTTTCTTTTAGTTTACATGCAAAATATTATTTGGTTTAACCGATAAACCGAACTAAATAAACTGTAACCGAATTAACCAAAAGTGATTAAATCGAACCTTATTTGGTTTGGCTATGGTTAGTTTTAAGATGTAAAAAAACCGATAAAACCGAACCATATAATCCGAAAACCGAAAAAAAACTGACTGAATAACAACTCTATCTTAAATCACTTACTTTCTTCACAACTATCACCATAAGACCATCCATTATACCCACCACATACCACATATGTGGTGGGTGCCACATCAACACCACATTTCACTACCACTAACATGCCATACTTACCACTAAACACACCACTCCACCTTATTTTTTTATTTAAATTTAATTCAAAAATACATTAAAATCATTTTTTTTAATACTAGTTTTTCTATTAAATTAAAATACCAAATTATATTAAATAAAAACTACATTAATTGAAATTAAAAAAAATTAAAAAAATAAAAATAACAATCAAAATAAAAATTACATTAGTTAAATTAAAAAAAACATTAAAAAAACTAAAAATTCCAACCATAAATAAAATAAACTACCCCCTACGCCTACGTCGGGCTCGAACGGAATCTTTCATTGTTTGGAAAAGTTCCAAGTCTTCGCCCTGAAGGTCGTCTGCTTTCATTTTCAAGATTTCTATATCGGTTTTTGTTTGGAGTATCTCTTGTGCCTCTTGAAATGATGTTTGTGCTTCGATCATTTTTTGTTCCATCCGAGTCATCACCTTGGCCTCGTTTCTTGAAGTTGCACATATCGATCAAATTTATCGCCAAACATATCCATAACACTAGAATTCGAAGATGTTGACGCCGCTTTTTTTGCTTTATTTCTTCCAACGGGCCGACGAAGAGGTTGGTCGTTTTCAAGATCTATCGGATCGTCGTTGATGTTGATGTGTTCGGCCGTCCGATTGTTGAGAAGTTCCATCGGGGTTTCTCGAACACTTTGAACCGGAAGATTGGGAAGTTCCTTCCGTTTGCTCTTTCCATTTTGGGGCGTCTTTCAATTTTAGTCACGGTTTCATATACGGAAAAGCTTTGTGTGTTGGCGTTGTTTTCTCAAATTGGTCCATGGTCGCCTTGAAAACATCAAAATCGTTCGAGCCGCTTTTGCGTATGTTTAGAAGATTGTTGTAGATTCCTCCAAACTCGGTGCATTTTAGTCGAATATCTCACCATTTCGACGTAATTTGATCGGCATTTCGGGTTTCACTTTCCATTAACTCGTAAAAAATAGCTCGGACTTTTTCCCAAAAACTTCCGTAAGGCTGGCTATCTCCTACAATTGGATCTTCGGAAGCCGCCACCCATGCCTCCGCTAACTTTTCTTCTTCTTCTTTTGTCCATGGGACCCTTTCTTGGGTGGTAGTGGGTCGGGCCGGTTTTTTTTCTTTTTTCTTTTTTGGTTGAGGTGGTGGTGAAGGTTGCGTTTTCGGAACAAAATCCGGCGAAAGTGGTGGTTGTGAGCTTGGTGGTTGTTGTTGTTGTGATTGTTGTTAGAGTTGTTGTAGTTGTTGGAATTGTTGGTATTGTTGTTGTTGGAAAACCGGAAAATATTGATATTGTTGTTGGAAAAGTGGTGATTGTTGGATAGGGGAACCACTTTGAAGTAGATTGATAAAACCACCTTGAGGTGACTCCATAGTCGGGAATTGACGAGGTGTCGTATCTAACGCAAAAACATTATCGGGTTCACGATTTCTGTAGTTTGGAGGGGTGTTTTGGTTGGGATCCATAGTTTTTGGTTGTGAAGATGTAGTGTGTAGTTTGTGTATAAAGAAAGAAAAGAATGGTATAAAAATTAAGAAGTTAAGGTGTTGTATTTATAGGTAAATAAAGTGGGTAATTTTTTTTTTAAACCAAATTAGCCATTCAACGGCTAGCAGCAACGGTCAAAATGGGGATTCGATTTGATTGGGTTTTTACATCCGTTGTGTGGAACACGAATGACCACGAGCACGAGCTACCACGAACCAACGGGACGGTGTGCACGACTGTGGTTCGTGGCCAGCTCAACCACGAACTGCCTCGTGGTTAGTATACCATACGGCCTAACAAAACAAAACCACTCATTCACTTCAACACAACAACCCTTTTAGTTCTACTATAATCATATAACTTAATGTACAACAAGAACAAAGTTCCAAGAGTTTCAACAAGAACACAAACAACTCTCTAATCTCCTTTATGGGGTGGGAGTGAAAAAAAAAACACACACACATCTATTTACATAACCAGAGATTGTTTGGCATTCAACAACATAAACTAGAAATGCATCATCTCCCAATCTCCCCTGTTTATTAAACTCATAACAACTGTAACTGTGTAAGATTAAGATACGTAGCCACAACTTACAACATTACCTCAGAATTAGCAGCAGCCACAGCTTCAGGATGATAATGAATCATCTCCTTCCACATCATCTCCCTTATCATCTCCTCCCCCCAATCCTCATCAATATCCAAATCCACCGGAACTTGAGCCTGAGGATCAGTATTCGGATCATAAAGTTGCGACATATAAGGATGACGAAGCGCATCCACCACACTAATCCTCTTCGAAGGATCAAAAACCAACATCTTCTGCAATAGATCTATCGCTAACGGATGCGCATGAGGATAAAGTCGAGAAAACGAAGTCCCAGGTGAAAAAGGAAGCGACTTTATGTAATTTCTCGCTTTAGGGTTATCGATAAACTCGATATTATCTTCTCTTTGACTTCCGAGTATGTTGACAATCAATTTCAACTGGTTTAAACACTCTGTTCCTGGAAATAAGGGTTTTCTGCCCAAAAGTTCAGCGAAGATGCATCCGACTGACCATACGTCAATGGAGGTGTCGTAGTTGTCGCAACAGAGAAGAAGCTCTGGGGCTCGATACCAACGGGTGACTACGTATTCTGTCATGAATTGGTCTTTACCGGTGTTTGTACGTGCTAACCCAAAATCGCATATTTTTAGGTCGCAATTTGCGTTTATGAGGAGGTTTCCGGGCTTTAAGTCGCGATGGAGGATGTTGACTGAGTGTAGATACTTCAAGCCTCGCAACAACTGAGAAAAAAAAAAAAAAAAACAATTTTGTATTATTTAAAAATTGTATATATATTTAGATCCCATTTTTTATGTAGCAGATGGTGAGTGCATTTGGTGTGTATTTGACCATAATTTTTGTCTCGCCTAAAAGGAGTTTTGCTAAAAAAAACACTTCATTTTAATATATAAACACTCTATTTGGTTTTTGAAAAAAAAAACACTTTATTTTAATATATAAACACTCTATTTGGTTTTTGAATTAATTTTATCGGTTAAAATTATATTTTTTTCCGCATGAATTGGTTACTAGAAGTAAATTATAGCTTGATTTTTGATAAATCGTGATCTCTAAGGTGTCAATTTAAGCGTACACTTAGGAAAATTTCCGGAAAAGTATCAAACTTTTAGGAAAAGTTTTAAACAAGTTCTAATTTTTTTTAAAAGGAAAGTCTTTATTATTTTAAAAAAAATTATATAATATGTCATTTGTTGTTCAAATTTAAAAAATGACTTTTTCGTTGATATGGACAAAATGTTAAATAATCGAAACTTTTCTGTCGAAAAGTTTTTGTTTTAACTTTATTGAAACATTTTCAAAAGTTTGAGATTTTTCTGTAGATTTCCCCATCTAAAAAGGTGGGTCATTATAGTTTATTGAAATTATATCATCAGACAAAAAATTGTCTAAAAAGATGGAACAAGGTGGACATTAGAGTGTATTGTTAACAAAAATTGTATTTTTTTTGTCCTACTTAAAAACGTCGAACAAGGTGAGACATGGACTCGTTCTCTCGTATGTTTAAAAGACGTAAATATCATTCTCATCTCATCACAAAATTAGCTATAAAAAACATGACGGCTCCATTCTAGTCTTATCCTGTTCAACGTTATCCACTGTATACACACACAGGACAAAACATAACAAAACTAGAAAGGCCAGAGAAGTTTCTAGGGCTAATGAGATGAAGAGGATATCAAGTCATTTTGCATAAATGAGAAATCAAGTGGTACTCTATGTCCCACCATTAGATAGGACAAAAAAATACAAATTTTGTCCTACCAAAATAAATTCTAGTCTTAGTTTAATATAATATATTGAACTAGGACTAGAATTTATTAAATATATGTGATACAGTACAATTTGTTCTGTCATATCATATTAAAAGACTAACTACATAACGCGGACCAATCATTCAATTACCTGGAAGAGGAAGTATTGGCAGTGATCATTGCTAAGTGCCTGAGATGATTTAATAATCTGATGCAAATCTGTATCCATAAGCTCATAAACCAAATAAACATCTTTAAAACTTCTCCTTTGAATGGGCACCATAACATCTACCAAACGAATAACATTTTCGTGTCTAAGATGTCGAAGAAGTTTGAGTTCACGCAAAGTTCTAAGTGCATCAATTCGGTTATCAAAGGCATTGTGTATCTTCTTTATTGCTACTTTCTCATTGGTTTCACGATTCACAGAAGAACAAACAATCCCATATGCACCTCGACCAATTGGCTTAATTGGAACATATTTTGTATCGATTTCAAACAACGCTTTCCACATTGAAAAGTAATGCTTCCCTTCGGATTTAATCCCATTTGGTGGGTCAACTGGAGTCGCCATTTTTCTTCATCAAGATCATAGAAAGTCAATAGTGAGATTGTGAGAATGAGATTTTAAGAGGGTATGAATGATAAATTGATAAAAATATTTAAAACCCATAAAAATCGGTTATTGATTCATTAAGGATTGAAGTCGTTGACCATGTTTATTGATTTATTCATTCGTAACAAATAATTAGGATTTTCAGAACAAGAACAAGAATTAAATCATATCAAGTACAACAACTATTAACCAAAAGAAGTCCTAAAGAGATGCACGCACATTTCCTGATTTGGGTATTGAAAAAACTATGAATATCATGAAAGAAATTACCTTTAATAGCAATAAATTCAGGGAAAACAAAAATTGAAAACCTAAAAGCATACCTCCTTTGTACGAAAAGCTTAACCTTTAACCCAATTTCTTCAATTCAATTTTCGCAAGACACAGAAGCTCGATGAATTCTAGTAAAACATGAGCTTTCGTCTTCAATTTCATACCCAATTCAACTTGAAGGAAGATCAAGAACTTGTCACGGTTATTATCTAACAAAATTGAGCCTTGTTCCTGCGATTCACTGTTACAATTCAAAAACCCAATTCGATTCGAGCATTACAGCATCATAATATCACTTAAATTGACTGATTGGAAGTGATCGGAGGGTCTGATCTTGTAATTCAATGCATCTATCATGAGTAAGAAGAAGAAGAAAGATAAGAAAGAAAAAGAAGAGATCTATTGGATCTGTGGAAAAGACACACACACGCAAAATAGAGTGTGATTCGTTATCTGGATGTGATCAGAGGCCGCATGGGCAGTGTCTGGATGGACCAGTGAAGAAGAAGGGCGGGGGAGAGAGAGAGGGGTGATGGAGAGAGTGGAGACTAAAAATATATAAAAGGAAAATAAAAAAGATAAAAACATATAAATATCGATCGGTCTTTCTTTTCCGATACTTAAAATATCCCAACTTCACAGTTAGCTACAACTATTTTATATACATATAAATATGTTTTTGAAAAAGTAAAATTGAAATAAAGTTGGTAATTTAAAGCTCAAAACTAAAAATCAAAATGGTAGCGGAAAGGTTAAAGCTTAAAGTTATAATATATTTATATATTTATAGATATATTCTAGATGAGTGATATTAGATTTGTATTAAGTATTTAAATTAGGAATCTAGTTTATAAGTAGATTTGATGTATGGTTCACAAAATTATATTGTTAAAAATATTCGATACAAATCTTGAAATTGTAGTTTATAAATTTTGAGTTTTTGTTGTTTAAAACAAAATTTTTAAACGCGTACATTTTTTTTTTTTAATTTGAGCTTTTTAAAGCAAAGAAAGTTAAAAAAAATCTTAAAACTTTCAAAAACTTATTGTTGGAAATACCTTATGTCTTTATACAACAAAAACAACAACATACTTTAGAAATCTCATTGGAATCGGGGTATGTAGGGTAAACATTGATAGAATTGGCAAAAATAGAGTAAACAGTCGTGTCTTATAAATAATATTTAGGGTGTGCACCGTTAACATGTAAAAGATGCAAATATAAAAATTAAATCAAAATGAATAATAAAACATAAATATGAATAAATCAAATTAGAAAGCTCATAATCTAAAATTTAAGTATAAAAAATATAAGCATTTAAACATACAAGCATGAAGTATTATCAATATATAAAACAAAACCTATAGGTGTTATATATACATAATTTAAGTTTTGTTATGCTAATAATACTGTAGAAAATCATTTTGGGTTTAGGCAAACACACAGCTACTATGTGGATATGTAACTGTTTCCGAATAATAATAAATATATTTTGTTACGTTTTGATATGTTAAAGCTAGCGGTGGTGACGTAATATAAGAATTTATAATTTCATGATAGAAGATATGACGTATATTGAATGTGAGGTGACATTTGCACTTGTGTTTTTTTATTCAACAATTTAAAACAAAAATTATTCAAATTTTTTTGTTAAAAATAATGTATATTTTCTTACAATCTTAATCACCAAACAACTATGGATACTACTAGACTAAAGTTTAACATACCTTATTAGTCTTTATGCAACAAAAACAACAACATACCCTAGAAATATCATTGTAATTGGGATATGAGGGAACAAAAACACCAACTTACCTTAGAAATATCATTGGAATTGAGATATGAGGGATAAATATTGATAGTCATGACCCCAAATGAGATAAAATAGTTGTATCTTATAAATGACATGTGGGATGTGCATCGTTAACATGTAAAAGAGGCAAATATTAAATGTAAATCAAAATAATAATAAAACATAATTATGAATAAATCAAATTAGAAACCTCATAATCTAATAAGCTACAAATTAAGTATGAGCATATAAACATACAAGTAGGAAGTGCTATCAATATATCAATCATTAAACAAAACTTGTAGGCGTTATATTATACAGAATTTAAGTTTTGTTATCTAATTATATTGTAGAAAATCATTTTGGGTCATGCAAACACACGACTATTATGTGGACGTGCAACTGTTTCCGAATAATAATATATATATATTTCGTTACGTGGTGATATGTTAAAGCTAGCGGTGGTGACGTAATATAAAAGTTTATAATTTCATGAAAATATGAAAGAAGATAAGACGTATATTAAATGTGAGGTGATATTTTTGTGTTTTATATTCATCTTTTAAAACAAAAAAATTCAATATTTTTCTTTTGTTAGAAATAATGTATATTTCCTTATGATCTTAATCACCCAAGTATGGATATATTACTGACTTAATTTGGTTAGTACAGGTTTGTTAGGGACTGAAGTTGATCATTTTGAAACTTTCACTAAAGGTTGAGGGTTTAAACCATCTCCAACCCACTTTTACTTTTTCTCCTAAAAATGAAGTAAAAAATAGGATAAACAGTGTTTCATCTTCAACCCTACTCCATTTTTTACACCATTTTTACCCCTAAAAAGTATATTCCTAGTATATTCTATTTTTCCAACTTATATAGATTGTCAATTATACCCCTTCTACTAATTTGGTTTTAACAAATATATAATCTATATTTTTTTTTCATTACAATACTATTAAATAAATAAGATTATATTTATAACACATAATTATAAACTTTTGTAAAATACGTTATCGTATTTTAAAATTTCAATATGTATTTAAATTTTCATATGAATTTGATAAACAAAAAAAATTATATTTATAATTAATTAATATAATTTGATACATAATACAATATTATAAGTATTAAATAATATATTTAAATTATAATTAGTAGATAAAATAAACTAATAATGTATAAATATATAAAAAGAGGGACTAAAACTAATAACTTAAAGTTCATCCCTATTTTGGGGGGAAATAAATA